CAATAATAAGTCCGTACACGCTGCTGCAAGCGGCTGCTTATTATTTCGTTGAGCTCGCCGAGTCAAATGCAACAGGTGCCCGGGCTTTTTGCGTCCAAAGTCGTCGTGGCGAAGCATTTAACACCTGCTGCTGCTGCCGCCGCCGCGGCCGCGCCGCTGTAGCGCGCTAGCGAGGAGAGACGTTTCATTTACGAGTGATTGCCTTCAACGCAACAAGCGAAACTACCGGCGTGCCTACAAGAGGGAGGAATGCGTGTCCGCGCGCCCGCGCCCCGCCCCACCACTACCCGCCACGCCCCTCCCGCGCGTCCGGCTGTCTGGCGCGAATAACGGAGTGGCGGGGCGGGCCAGCGTCGCTCATCATCGGAGTGCAACACCGCGCCCCTTCTCTCTCTCCCTCCTCCCTCTCTCTTCCTCTGGCTGCGACCGAAAATGTTAATGCCCCAGGTGTCGGTGAGCGAATGCAATTTCTGAACCCCTGCAAAGCTTAGAACCCCTCCTGCTTCCACAAACACTCATCACATCGGCGAGACTCACCTTGTCGCAAAACACCTTGATTTGGCAGTACCCTCTGTGGTACACGGGGCCGTCTCTCGGGTCTTCGTAGGTGTCGATTTGGATATGTAACGGTAGTCCCTAAAGATAAAAACAAAAAAACATTTGGGATAGGTAATTTTTTAAGAACTTATTTTTTAAAATCGAAAGAGCTTGTTTCTCTAAATGTATAGAGAAAGTCGGCGTTGACAGTTTGAGCTCACCTTGACGCCCTTCTGACTGCTGAAGTCCGTACTCAGGCACTGAACCGCCACGTTGATCTGCAAGACAAATGCTGATGAGTGCCAGATTACACGCGCTAATGGTCGCCCCAAGGCCTCGCCTGTGGCTATGGCACCCTCCCTCCTCATCCTTATGCTTTTTTCCCGCCTCCGCCGCGTGGGAGGATCCGCGGAGCGAGCCGTGTTCAGCGAGCCCGATTTGCACGCGGAACATTTTAATATGCGTTTCGGAGAAATACATAAAAATCGTCGCGTTGCCGTTGCCGCGTTTGCAGGCAGCTCTGCCTCCGCGTGACGCCCCAGCGGGCCGGGCCCCGATGTTATCTGCGGGTGTTATTAACCACGGCCTCCTGCAACGCCTGCAAGGCCTTCCTTACCTTGGCCGGGCTCTCCAGGGGGTTCCAGTAGACGGCGATGGCGTTGTGGGACAGCTCCTCGATGCAGCCCACCAGCCCCATGCTGTTCTTGGTGTCTGCAACAACAAACAGAGCAAATGCAACAGATTAGTCGGGGCGACCCGGAGACCTGCACGCGGGACAGCACAGGAGAGCCAAGGGTGCGAGTGTGGCACACTTTGTAGCTGTGATCATTTCCATTCGCACATTTGTAAAGTAAAGGTGGAAATGTTCCTTGAAATTCCACACTTGGGTTCGCTGTACAGTCACACTCTAGCGTCGAGGCAGGACGTCTCAAACTTGGGCGGTGGCCCCACGGGAACCGTAGCTGACCACAAGTTTTGTCGCTGACGACGGGGGCGACCTTCGATGGTAATTGGCTCCATCCGGAGAAAGCGCTCGCGGAAAGTGTGTGTGAGTGAGAGAGAGAAAGGAGAATGAGGAAGTCGCGAAGAGAGACAGAGAGGGCGTGTTTGTGGTTCTGCCCGGAGGGGTCCGAGGGCGGGCAGGGCAGGCAGGGCCCAATGAGGGTCCTTAGGGCATATATCGGACGTGGCCAGCAATCCCAATGAGGACTACGCGGAAGGCTCGGCCGGGCCGTCGCAAAAACGGAACGGACTCGTCCGAAATAATGAAACGACGTGAAAACGAATTTGAAAACAAAGAGCTGTGGCGATGATGAATTTTTCATATCGAGTAATAAAAACCGGCATTTGAATCTTCAATTCAGAGTTTTTAGGTAGCAGCCGTCGGCCAGGCCCGCGCGACCTGGCCGGCACAGGAAACGGCGCCAGGCCAGATCTATTTTGATGAGAAATTCATTAACGCGCATTTACATTCAACATCAGCCCACTCGCGAGGAGGTCAACCCGAGCACGCAACGCGGGGCGGGTGGGGAAGAGGGAGGGAAACAGAGGATTAAGCGATTGTCGACAAGCGCTGGGCAGCGAGCTGTAGCAGGGCGGGTCCGGGGCGGGCCCTTCGCCCTCTCGTGGGCCTCGTCGGCGTGCTGCAGCAGCTGCGGCACTTCACCGGTCGTACGGCAATAATGCGAGCTAAGCGCCCCGATAACGCGTCGCCATCCATCAAGAGCGACAGAGAGAGAGAGAGAGAAAAAGAGAGACAGAGAGAGAGATAGACAGACAGAGAGAGACAGATACTTGCGGCGTAGTAGAGAGGACGGGCGGACGGCCCGAGCTCTTCTTGCGACACTCCTCCAAAAATAGGTCCCCCCCGCCCGATCGTACGTCCGTAGCGCCACGCGGGGCTCCACCGGCTAAATGGACTTGTCGTGTCCGGGGCCGGGGTGCAGCAGAGGAGGGGGGCGCTCAGCCCCGCACCACTCAGCCCGACACAAATCGCCTCCACGTCGCCGCGCCGGGCCCAGCCGTAGCCATTATCACAATCTAGTAGGAGCCGAATTCAAATCCTAAATTAAGCCAATCATTACGGACGCTCGGGACGCGAACCGTCGTGAGGCGGCCAGCGCTGTCTCCATCCATCAATCTTACCGCTCTCGCTCTCTCTCTCTCTCCCTCTCTTTGTATTTCTCTTTCTCTCTCTTTCTCTCTCTCTCTCTCTCTCTCTCTCTCTCTCTCTCTCTCTCTCCCTCGCGCGTGAGGAGGAGGAGGGCGGGGGGCACGCAACAGATATGCACGCAGCGTTTCCTTTTTATTTTCACGCGGGTTCTCTCTAAAAAAGATGGACACGACGCCCCATAAATTTCTCGGCTCGGGGTCCTAATCTCTCGTGGCGTGGCGCTGCGCTGCGCGGTCCATGGGCCCTAAAGGCCCGTGAGGCTGCGGAGCCTGCGGAGCCCAGCACACCCGAGCGTTTATCGAGAGAGCACAAGTAATTTGTTAGATCGACAGTGGCTCACGCGGCTCAGCTCACGCTCGATAAATAAGGGCGCCCCGTCATATAAACCAAGCCGAACGACACTTCATACCCACTATATATAGTCTTTTTATTGTAATATTATTTTACAATTGGCGTTGTTTTGTATCGATACATAACAACGACAACAGCAGCACTACATAAAGGAAGGCGCCTCCCTCTCGTCCCGCCCGCTCGGGCCATTTCTTCTCTCTTTCACCGCGCGGCGCTGCGTGGCGCTCACCCGATACGGCCCGGGGATAGGGTTCCCTGTGACACGTGACACGGGGCCGCCCCCCGCCTCCGTACAGCACCCTCCCTTCCTCCGCCAGGACCGCCACATCCACCGGCGGCAGCAGCAGCAGCAGCAGCAGCAGCAGCAGCAGCAGCAGCAGCAGCAGCCGCCACCGCCGGGCGCACCTGCTGCTGCTGCTCGAGGTGCTTCATTACTGCCGAAGTGCAAGCTGAACGGGGAGAGGGGCATTTCGACACCGCGGTCGCGCGCGACAGGGCATGGCGAGGCCTGGCGAGGCGTGGCGGTGCGTGGCGGTGCGTGGCGAGGCGTGGCGAGGCGTGGCGGGGCGTGGTGGGGCGTGGGGGGCGGGGTGGCGGGGCGGCGCTCCAGGTCTTTCTGGGAACCCGTCGAAAGCACGGGTGAGGCGGACGGACGTGCCCGCCGTCCCCGTTGCGAAGTCCACCCTTCTCCACCATTGGGCAGCATCGAACGCCCCGCCACGCTCCGCCCCGCCAGCAGGCGACAAAACAGATGGAGATTGGCGGGGCGTGATCGCACGTCAGTCGACTGACGGGGGCACACACACACACACACACGCACATAGGCACAGTGTGACCAACCACGACATTTTGAATCCCGCGCACGTCTATCAGTCCTGCCAACCGCGAGACGAGAGTGCGCACCAAATCCCGCTAAGTGGTCGGTCAACATTTCGAATAAACGCGGCAAAACGCAGGGGGAGCGGGGGGAGAGGGAAAGAGTTGTTGGCACGGCAGTCCGGCAGCCAGCGGCACCGCTCAAAACTATTCCCTGTCAAACTTTGTTTGTAAAATTAAGAATAATGTTTCGGCGTGTCCATCATGATCAAACATTCTCACAGAGGGCAATAATAAAAGCATATAAAAAGTAATGCTGCAAGATCAACTTCTACACTTGCTGCCCACACGATTCGACCGCGAACAGGGCGATAAAGAAAACACCTTGCGCGTGCCACTACGGCGACACGGTGACGGCGGCGGCTGTGGCGCTGTGGCCCCCACGACCCCCGGGGCCACCAGCCACCATCGCGATACGCGGCTCTCTCTACAGGACCAAGGTGTTGTCATTGCGGGTATTCTAATCCCCCGCTGTCGGCTTACGACTCGGACGCACGTCCAGGCCGTGAATGTGACGCTCATTCGGCTCACGCGGCGACGGTCGTCCAGCAAATCAAACACGCCGCGCCGCCGTCCTGCAGAGCAGACTGCAGACTGCAGAGCGGGCAGAGCGCCGCAACTCGCCGCCCCTGCGGAGGCACTTACAGACCGGGGCATGTTAACCTGAATGCATAATGTTATTGCGCGCCTGACTCCGCCGCGTTGCCCGCGCCCCAGCGCAGCGTTTCCATTTCATTAGTTTCCGATAAATATTAATGGACGTGTTAAAACGAGTGAAAACTGCGGTTTTTTATTTATTATTATTACAATATATCTCAGGAGTCACAGTTTTTCGTGCAAGCCGATCATCCACCCTCTCCTCTAACCCCATCCCCACCACGGCCCTCCTCCTCCCGACCCAGACGGACACATAATAATACTCCCGGTTTACACAGAAGTCCAATTTGGACTCATTATACCCGCGGTGTTTACCCCGTCCCCCTCCCTCAGCTCCACTCTTATTGTCTCTGAGAGGAGACGCCTCGTGTTATTCGGACTGTTAATTGGGTATAACGAACAACAGAGTCCACTGCCGGGCCGGGCCCAGCCTCTATAGTAAGTATCGACCACTGCCTTACATTCCGCCCCGTTAGTAGTCCTCCTCCACTTGTCCCTCCTCGTCCCACAGCGCAGTGCGGTGACAAGACAGGTGCGGAGTAGAAGATTAGAAAAAATAATAAAAGAAAAGAATCCACCAAAACGACAAATATCATCCACTTTTCACAATTTTTTAAAAATACATTGACATATTAGAGTGGATTTTTTTCCGTTATTTTTTGGCAGTGGACGGCACGTCGTCGAAGCCCTAAGTTAATGCCCCCGAGAGCCCTTGTTTGGCCCACAGCCGGGCCACACGTACGCGCACTTACGACCCCCGGTACCCGGTACTACATGCACTCCCCGAGATGAGGTTTTAATTTGGAGGTATCCACTCCTCCTCCGCCCCCTTTGCTTTGCTCTTTCTCTCTCTCTCTCTCGGCGTTCCTCTCGCTCTCCGACTCGGACCGCGCGCAGCGCTGGACGTGTTTGTGTGATGGCTCTCAAACAAATGCATCAATAACCACTCCATCTCAGCACATGCACTCCATCAGTCAACTCTCCATTCCTCCGTCCTGCCCGCCCCACCCCGCTCCGCGCCCCTTTCGCGGAACATCACCGCCGCGCCACGACCCACTGACCCGCCCGCCCCGCCCGCCGCGCCCGGGCCTCCAGTCTGCGCCCTTTGGAAAAGGAAGAGTAAACATCGCCGCAAAGCACATTGACTGGTGCCTCCCCCTCCCCCTCCTCCTCCCCAACCCTTCCACCTGTAGCGCCGGCCAGCCGGCCGGACCGGACCTCGCCTCTGTGTGTGTGTTGTCGGACTTAACCTGCTCGGGCCCGCCCCGCCCCGCCCCGCCCCGCTCCCGACCGCGCCGCCCCATTCAGGAGAGTGTGAGCGTCATCAATCACACGTCCAAGGGCCCAGCCAGCTCTCCCGAGGGGTGCTCGCTCGCAGCGCGTAACATTATAGAGGTACGACACACAACTGTTTGGCCAAACCCGAGGTGCTTATGACCGTCCCGACTACAAACAAACAACCGCAACACAAAACCCATTCACGGCTCCGCCCCGCTCCGCACGTTACGTTACGTGTTCGCGTGTTGATGGTCGCCACAAACCTTCGGGAGCGATGGCAAGCGGCGGGTTGATGTTGTTGATGGCCCGGTCCTCTGCGCGGTCACCCGCCGCACCCACACCATCTCTCTCTCTGCTTGCGTGCAGCGTTATTTCTTCTTTCTCTCTCTCTCTCCATCTCTATCTCTCTCTCTTTTTCCCTACCGGCGCCCGTAAAAGAGGCGCACCGCCGCATTTTATTTACGATTTCCGTTCACTAATTGCTATTAAAAGGGCGGCCCCTAAAACACATATTTCTCCTTCTCCGGGGCGCCGCCGCCACACTGGAAAAACTAGCGAGACGCGCGTCACACTATATCATCTACTATCGCTGGCGGCCAGTTTTGAAATTTTCAGAAACTTTTAACCGCTAATGCTTTCAGAAACATTTTTCTGTGACTTTTAAAGACTAGACTCCGTATGAAAGGTGACAAAGCCCACCACAAGTTCTTCTATTTTAAATGTGCATCTTGCTAGCATCTGACATTGGTAGGCTTAGTTCAGTTGAACAAGCCATCATCCGTTTTAACCCTCATATTAAACTTGAACTTCTAGGTGTACTCACCCGCGTCTAGTATCCTCTGCTTGACGCTGTGTTGTCTGCCGTGCCAGAACTGCCACGCCTTGATCTCGTCCTCGGGGCTCTTCTCTTCCCTGAACATCAGCATCACCACGCTCTGCAACAGAAGAAAGCAAAACGGTCAGGATCGCGGGTCATCATAGTCATTCGGACGGCAGCCTCGCGGCGTCCCTCGGCTCCCCCCAGCCTCCTAGTAGTGCGGGACGACAGGATACGGGGCGAAAGTATTCGGCGGGTGACTTCCGGCGGCGATTGCCGTACTTAAGGTAGTGGTATGGAAAGAGCTAAATAGCTAATGGAGAGACTCGAGCGGCCTGCAAGGTATACAGGAGACACAAGTGATTCCGCTTCCCATACATTAGCATGGCGACTCCCCATCGCGCCACGCCCCGCCACGCCCCGCCGCGCCCATCCAGGCCTACGCAAGCGCAGCGCAGATTATGATATAAATCAGGTCGACGCTCTGATCAGGCCCTGATTAGCCGAGATGGTGGCGGCGGCCCACACGCACACGCGCGCTTCGCATATGGCGGCGGCTCAAATCAAATTTCCACTTCTGATAGAACAGTCCCCCCACACGCACGGTGCACAACACACTTTTGGCGCGCAACTCGAGTCAAATTCAAATGACACGAGACGAGACACACTGCAGCCGCACGGCCTAGCCCGGCGACACCCACACCTCCCGCGACCGGCCTTCCCTGCCCTCCTCCGCGGCGATCTCGTTCATGCCGCAGTTAGTCGTGCTGCTGCTGCTGCTGCTGCTGCTCGGCATGCATAGGGAAGCACCACCGCGGCGCCGGCATTCCTCCACGTCCAGCAATTACCCATTTTTTGTCCGTTTATACGAAAACGCTTGCTGCTCCGCCGCTATGATGACGACGACGGCGGCGGACTTACAACAACAACATGCGCGAGCAGCAGAAAAAAATATGATATGCTAATGCTCGTGATTATGGGGCGCTAACGACGAGCGCGTCAAATTGAGAGGGGGAGGGGTGAGCTAGAGAGAGAGACAGAGATAGAGAGAGAGAAAGACAGAGAGGGTGGGGAGTGAAGGGGTGCAAGACGACGACGGCGACAGTGAGGCGAGTAGCTAGTGTCCCTCCCCACTACCTCTCGCCCCACAGCGGGGTGCGATCAGTTTGCCGCTGACCAATGGGCTACACGCGCCTTGCGCCTCTTCGCGATTATTCGGCGCGCATCATGAAATTAATTATCTCATTAGAATATAACAATTATTGTCATTATCGTCGGCCTGCCCGTCATTATTCAAAGATAAGGCCGGCGATGAATTTTAATGCGGCGAGAAAACTTGGCTACCCTTCTCTCTCTCTCTCTCTCTCTCTCTCTCT